CCAGGTATGTATGTGTCTGTACATGTGTACTGTATGTAACGTATGTTTGTTTCTTTGTATGCATGCATGCATGCATGCGTGTATGTATGTATGTATGTATGTATGTATGTATGTATGTCTGTATGTATGTGTGTATGTGTGTATGTGTGTATGTGTGTATATGTGCATATGTGTATGTGTATGTATATGTATATGTATATGTATATGTATGTTTACATGTATATGTATATTTACATGTATATGTATATGTGTATGTGCATGTGTATATGTATGTATATATATATATGTGTGTATATATTTATATCAAATTCTACTTACATGCACATACATACATACATACATACATACATACATGTGTATATATATATATATACCGACACCTAAATCGGTATGCCTTTTTTCTGCATCTGTATCTATATCTTATATCATGTGTCGATATCTGAATTCATAGGCGATATATATATATATATATGTACATACATACATACATACATACATACATACATACATACATACACACACATATATCTATCTACGCATCACCCCTCGCTTGTCTGGTAGGTCCTAGGTTAGAAGTTAGAGGATTGATCATTTCTGGCGGTGAGCCTTAACATTTTTGCCGACCTCCGGATGATCCGGCCTGGGTCGCATCGATCAGATATGATAAAGTCTTTACACAAGGCCTTGGACTGGCGTGCTTGGTCTTTGGAAGCCACAGCCTCGAAGCCCTGGTGTTTGCACTGCAGGCATTTAGCGGACGAATCGGCTTTTTGGTGATCAGTTTCTGGGGCGTTTAGATCGTGCTTTGGGATTCAGAGTTTTGGGGCTGTTTGCTTAGAGTAGGCTTGAACGATGGAAGGCTGTAGATGGACGGGATCGAGCCCCTTACTGGTTGAGGCACATACAAGATCGTAGGTTTCATGGTGTGAAAACGGTCAACTCGGTTCCCTCGAATCTGAATTACCATTCTGGCTCATTTGCAAGGTTGCAGGATTGCCGGGGGCAAAAGACTAGGAAGCACTGAGTATTTGATTCCGCTCGAGACCCTGTTCGCCGTGTTCGGCTTCTGCAATATCGTCCGGATCACATGCGACGTTGCATCAGCAATGGGAGCTATTTTCGGAATTTGTGGTTCTGTCCGACTCTCGGAACAAGGTTCCCGTTGAGGTGTGCTAGGGGTCCGTTCGATTTCGTGGCCCATGAACCATAGGCCAATGCCCATCATAGGCCCATATGTGTGTGGCCTCCTGTCTCCTTTCTCGTGTCAAGCACCGTCTCACGCTGTAACTTTAGCGCCTCCCCATCGTATATATCTATGGCCAGCCGCAACGCCAAGGCATAAAGCCAGTGGCGTGCGTAGGTGATGACTTCGACGAGGCCGTGCGGAACTCGGCAGGGAGAAGCCTGGGCTCGTCGGTTGAGGTGGGTCAGCCAGAGGTACCATCAAGCTACGCCTTGTATCCTCGGCTCTCCATGGACACCAAAACAGGACCGAAGACAAGAATCTAGGTTTCTTTAAAGAGCACCTCTTCTGGACCGTCGGCCCTGGGCTTCTATTTTTCTAGCATACGTACTGGATTCTCGCTTTCTTTTGTACCAGGTGTCGTCTTGAATACCAGACCGTCGCACCACTGCAGATTTCGGAAGGTAATACGGCCTGGCCTGAGACAGTGTTTTGCTCGGTGATGAGTAGGCCTGTGCAAAGAGGTCACGACATGACGTGCCGTGTCACGATCAAAATTCCCCAAGTTTTGCAAGCAAGGGCTGGGGAAGTGGATGATACGAACCCAGCCGCTCAACCTTCCCAGCCACTAAGCAAAAGACATCTATAGGACTTGCCTCCCAGATGCCGAGGTCAGTTTGGAGCCACATGTTCAGGCGTCCCGGCAGCACTTGGGACCCGTGCCAATGCGACTAGGTGCTGAAACTCTGAAGTATCGCATCTTCGTGTCAATAAACTGCGAGGTCTTCAAGCTCCAGCACTTCTACAGCCTGCAAGATCAAACTCACTAGTCGAAAGTCGAAAATTGAAAACTCCCACATGAAGGACAGAAAGATATGGACCGTTTGGAAAAGTTGTTTCTATAGCGTCGCCGTGGCACTTGTGACCCCGTCTGGACACCTCGTTTCGGGTCTGGGAACAATCTGAAACGGGGATAGAGGGACGTCGTGAAGTTCTCTGACAAGGGAGGAGAGCTGCGCAATGCCCCAATCGCTTGAAAAAACACAAGGCGTCTCTAGCCAGTTCTGGTGTCCCCTGATTCAGTCCGTGCCCGCGCACAGACGAGCCGCACCTCCTAGGACTGATGGGGCTTTCAGGGTGTAGCCGTGGCGGCGAATGTTCTGTAAGCTGAGTAACCAAGTAGATACAGACGTCTTTTGGTCTTTTGCTTCCGTGTCGAAGTGTCTATAGGAGTGCAGATGTTTTTGTGCTTGGGATGCGGAGGGAAGAAGGACATCCTGATGAAATTTCCAGAAGCTGAGTCTGCGCCGTCTGCAGCTGGCCTTTCTTAAACGGGGGGGGGGGGTCGTCCGAAGTCAGGATGCACTTCTTGACCGATCCGGCCGAGCCCGAGGGAGCGCCTGCGGGCCAGGGCCACGAAGACCTCGTCACTGTGCTGGAGGACCAAAGTCGCTGCATGCGGAAGCACTGCAGAAGCGCACTCTCGTCGCTGGAATCCAACCTGCTTAGGGTATTTTCGTCTCTGCTTCTGCCGCAAAGCTCAAACTGCAGAGCCCAACAGGGTCTTCCGCATCCTTGTGTGCTTGCATGAAGGACCGTGCGAGGGCGCGCCACATGCGCAGTGGAAGCCTCATGTCCCAGTCCGAAGCTTACACCACCCGTGTGAGATTAAACTAGGCAGAAAAACCGTCGTCGGGTCCAGACCACCAACTAATATCAGCCACACGCACATCCACGCAGTCCCTCTCACTGGCTCTCCAATTCTCTGAGGTTCATGAGGTCATTCGCTCAGAACATGAAGTATGCCGTTCTTCAAGACAGCAAGGGCGACATGCCAGAGGAGGACTGCGGGCAGGCTAGTTGTTCGACCTCCGCGATCCAAACCTGGACATTTTTGGAGAGTAGGTCTTAAGCTGATGGAGCAGACCGGCTGTGCTTGAAGCCAGAGCTGGGATCGGGACCCACAGGAACGGCAGCGGCAGATGCGAGCCATTGAGGCTGCAAAGGCGAGCAGGGTCGTTCAGATGCCAAAATCAGTTTCCTGTATCTCAAGGGTTGGTGCCTCATGTTGGGAACAGTGTAAGACACATAGGCAGCAGGGTTTTACGGCTTCGAGTCAAGGCCAGACGGTCAGACGTTGGAACCATCGGGCACCACTCGTAGCACGCCCAGCCCGGCTTCGCCTTTTGGTACCGTCTAGCTGCAGGGCCAAGGTCAACCGATGGAAAAGCTATATTCCCGGTTACATACTGGCAGTGGTGTAAGGCAGGCGCAGATCTTGAGCCTGGAACACCTTCAATCTCAAGGGAGCTGCAGCAAGAGTGGGAGTCTAAATCCTCAACCCAGCCAGGCTCAGCAGGAGCAGCAAGGAGGATCGGGTGTTGTGCTCAGTGCATCGCCGAACCTCTCATATATATATATATATATGTATGTGTGTGTATATATTCAGGTTTTGGTTTGGGGGTTGTGGTTTTCTGTTGGGACTGTAGGGCAGTGTCGGGCGAACCTCCAAGTCAGTGGTTTGTGTGATTCCGCTTCACCCTGCCGGATGTGTTGTTCCTAAGGCTCCAAAGCAACCCCCAGAGCCGAAGTTCATAAATCAGAGATATCTTAAGACCCTTCCTGTGCGGGTCGACGGATGTGTCCACTAGCATCAAGATCTCATGTCCTGCCACGCTGCACGACTGCACGACCACAAGATCCGTGTTCAATATTGTTGCTGCTGAGCAGGTCGTATGTTTGTTAGCTAATTTTCCCCAGAGCCCGAAACCCAAAACCTCAGCAACCCCGCAGCTGAAGGCTGGAGCGCGAGCCCCCGAGAACCGACTCACGACTTGGCTCTTCTCCAACATCGGCCCAGGAGGTCGGGTGCAAAGGCGTTTAGGAGCAAGCTTCCAAGGCTTTGAGTGTTGAGAATCCAACGGCCGATGGATCGTCTCAATCCACCAGAGTGTCGAATTTAGTTTTAGTCTTCCGTTCTTTGATAGATGCGGGATTCGGAGACTGCGCCGAGAATGCCGAGATGTGATTTCAGGGAGTTCTAGCTGCCATGTCTGTCCATTGGCAAACACAGCTGTTCAACATGCATCCTTGAGGATGGGGGACTTGGGCTCAACATGTTTCGACAAGGAGTGTTTCAGCAAAGGTAGGGTTCAGGTTGTTCGGCTATGTATGCAAACAGCAGCAAATCGCCCACCCTGATGCCATTCCGAACTGTTCTGTCTCCATGTGAGAGGCAGCCGGCGGCCCTTCAGGCTAGTTGGCAGCGATTCATATCTTGTCTTTACGAGTTTCAGCATCTCCGACTTCAGTTTGGATTGTCGGTGATTTTGCGGTGGCTCTTCGGGGACATGTGGAGAGCGGGTCAGTTCTGCTTGGCAGGCGAGCGCAGTCAATGTGACCGAGCTGCCGGTTCTGTAGAACTTCTTGCCGACTCGATGTAAATGTACAGCCTGTTGCTGCAGTTGTTTCCACTTGTCCAGGGCTTCCGTGCCACAACCGGAGCTATGCAGGTTTCCCAAAGACCTGGCAGTTCACAGGGAAGCCTTAAACCCAATAAACCTGACAGCCCAAATCGAGAGTCTTAACAGAAGTTTCTGTAGCGAAAACTGCCTAAGACCTGCCGAGCTTGTCTACTAAGAGGAGTCGAGCCTGCGACACCACAGACCCTCTCAGGCTTGTCCGCAGGGTCTTGGGTGCAGGGCTTGGGCTTGTCGTGCAACCCCATAAAACATGGTCGCCTGCAGTAGCGTGCCAGCACTCTTCATTAGAACTTGCTGTGTTTGGCCTTCAGGGCAAAGGTGGAGGGCTACGTTGCACGGCGTTTGGAGCCATGTGGTGTCTCGGGCCGGACCAGGCGTTTAGTCTATAGGGTTGTTGTTTTCATCGCTTGGGATGTTGCATAAGCTTGAGCCTTCTGAAGATTAGGAGCCCAACAGCTTGAAGGTCCTTGGGCACTTCGGGATTGGTGCTATAGTTTGTGGCCACTAAAGTTCAAAGCGTAACACAAAGTCGTCAGGCTGTGGTCGTACTCGATCGCCGCGTGCCCAAAACTTAGAACTCCCGATCAATGCCCGATCAAGACTTGTTACACCGGAGGCGCAGCACAAGCAGGCACCGGCAAGCAGTGACAAAAGTGGCCAAGAAGCATCTGGCATGTCACACAAGTCAAAGCTGAAAAGCCACCCATTCTTTTTGCGTTGCGAATCTCTTTTGTGCTTCGGAGAGTGGACCGTACGTGGCGCTAAAGAAGGGTCGGCATCTTGAGAACGAGATACACGCGGCCTTCCCTAAAGCTATGCTGCCAAGCCCTATAAGCCCCTATGCCCCACAAGGCCCCAGAAGGCACCTGGGGGCATCTGTGCGGCTTGTGGTGGCTCTACAAGCATGGCCCCTTATACCCCCTCATAATCGAACCCTTATGGAGCCCTTAAAGGCGCACTTATAGATCCCTTAAGTAGAGTTTACGGGACTCTGCGAGCTCGCTTTGATTTGCAAGCTGGGCCTGCGGGCCTAAGGGTGCCAAGGCCTGTGGGCTCCCTGATGACTCAGCCTGATGACCCTCGAGCTCTGCGCATGGAGTGGACAGGGCTTCCTCCTCAACCTGAAGCCTCAAGAACTGAACCCTGATTGACATCGCTGCTCATTGTTGTTTGGCTTTTTGTTGTCTAATTTCGGATGTTGTCTTTGCTTTGCTTCTTGGCTTCTGCCACCTTGGCTTTGGCCTCCGAGTGCATTCGGCTTCCTGGCTTTTGGCTTCTCGATTTTTGGTTTCTTAGCTAGTCTAAACCCCCAAAACCGCAAACTCTAACCCTTTAACCCTGAACCCCAAAACCTGGAGCGAGCCGGGGGCGTTGTGCGTGCCAGCGGCGAGCGATACCGCGGCATTTGCCCGCGGTGCATCCCTACTGCACAAAGCAAGAGCCCAAATCGCAGCAGGAAGACCCCCGCAAACTACAAAATGTTGTTAAAAGCCTGAGCCCGAGAAGTCAAGGTTGAGATGTGGGTGGTCAATGGTCGATCGCTGAACACTAGGCGCGCCGCCACGATCTGTAAGGTCGAGGCGTGCCCGCTCGCGGAAATCCTAACCCTAAACCCAGAACGGAAAATATCAAAATGGCAAAGACAAATCACTTAAGTCTCCATCCACTGACAAGCTGAGTTCGTGGCCCAAGGTATGGCCTTTCGCTCTGCATCGCTGGCTGCAGTGATTGCAGTGCTCGCCAACTTCCTGAGCTGAAACAGCTGGGAGCTCTGTCTTGATAGTTGCAGGAGAGGTTCATCTTCGTGAGATCGGAGACTATGTCCATGAAATGTGACATCCGCCCTCAGACTCTGGATTTCAGGATATATACCCTCTAAACCCCGCAACCACCAGGTAGCGAGACAATGCTCCAGCGTCCCAGCATGGAGCACAGTTGGAGAAAAGCAGCGGTCACGAAATGCGTTCTATGAGCTCCCCCCTCCCCCGCCTGCAAGTTACCCTCTGCAGAGCTGGAGTACTCTCCATGTTGAACTTGCTTCCTGCAACCCATGAAATCTTGCAGCTGACGGAAATGGACTTCACATGCGACCCGGGCGGTTCGACTTGCTGCTGCTGAGGGTTCAAGGCTTTGACCCAATTTGCACGAACGTCTAGTCTAGATCTAGAGAGACGCAAGCAACCTGGAGCCGTGCAGCAGCCCTCGGCTAGACATTACCGTCGTCACAGCACGTCCGTCTGCAGCTACGTCCGGCCGTGTTGTTAGCACAAACCAGGAGATCAGACATCAAGGGTGTTAAGTGAGGGGGCACAGCAAAAGCACTAAGTTTTATGGCAAGGTGCGACTACTCTGAAGCCGGAGAATTACCGCTAGATGAAGAAGTGCTCGCCGAAAACTTTGACATGTGATCATATGTGCCGCATGACGAATGCTACAAGTTCTGCACAATTGCCGGCGTCGCAGCCTCAGACCCTCGTTTATTCGCAGCTGCCCTGCTTCCGGCACAGCAGTTGAAAGCCAGCAGTGGGCACCCAGATGGGTGACGCTGAAGCACAGCAGGACAAAGCATCCTTCGCATACTCTTCACTGCATTGTTGCCTTCCTTCGCGAAGTTGTCCTGAGCGCCCGAAGCCGGCAAAACCTTAGTGCCCATTCCCTGCGGTCAGGTGCGGCCAAATTGATGTGCGGGACCTCCTTGCCAGCTGCGAGGTTGACATCTCCCTGTGGCCTGACGGCATCTGAAATAGAATGGGTTCTCCCCCTACATGACCAGTGGTATCTAATGCAATCCAGCACAAGACTTCCTCGAACACGGAACTCCAGCTGAATTCGTATTGGATGCAGGGCCTGAAGTCTCGGAGCATCGGAGAGAAACAGGCTGCTTGCCCCGACTTACCGTCCCAAAAGAATCCCCTCTTCACACCATTTGGGGAAAGGGCTGACTCAGCCCGGCACCAGGATGCCAATCCAAAAGCCTTTCCTCAAGCTTCTCTTAGTATCCCACCCGTCCATCGCGTTCGACGTCATGCTGCCTCAGGGCCGCTCTCGTCTCGATGCCTATGGTCCTGCTGATCCCAATTTGGTGCAGCACTACCAGACGGTGCGAAGCTTTGTCGGAATCCAGAACCGAGATGTGCAGCAGATGATGCCCAAAGTGCCCCTGGTGTCGGGCCCAGGAGATAAGAAGTCGGCAGACAAAGAAGCATGTCACGATCCTGAAGAAGCCTGTGACGAGGACAAGTTCGGGGACGAGAACAAGGGACCCACACAGTCGGAGTGCTGGAAGCCTCTATTGCCCTTGGCACTGAGTGGCTCGACGATTTTGGGCGGAGTGACAGTGACTCTGGTGCACGTTCCTCTATTGACCGAGCTGACAGCATGGCCCTGGAGCGTTTTCGTTGCGATTGTCCTCGCTATTTACGGCCCCACCTTGCTTTGCATGCTGTGGGTGGCCAGGGCTGACCCTGGTCAGATAACCATTGAGGACGGCGAGACCCCAAAGCGTACCCACAAGTCCTGGTTGTACCCGGAGCCCATTCGACGCTACGACCACTACTGCAGGTGGCTCCAGAACGTCGTTGGCCTGATGAATCACCGCGAGTTCATGGCGATGCTGATTGGCTTGACACTAATTGCAGTTCTGGGAGTCATCATGGACCCTGCCCTTGCTGTCTTGGCCTACAAAAAGCCCGGGGTCGAGATCGTGACGGGTATCATCCTTGTGTTGCATTGGATATATTCCTTGATTGTATTGTTCTTCGAAGGGGAAATCTTCATCATCCACGTGGGGCTTGTCTCGAGGAACGAGACAGCGCAGGAATGGAAGCAGAACAAATATTACGTGGCACACGACACCTCAAAGGGGTACAACATCCACGTGGAGAGCTTGTCAGACTCGGACGAGTACAACGAGCTATTGGACAACGGAGAATTCGTCTACTCGCCGGAGACAAACTCCTTCGACAAAGGCTGCCCGACGAACTGTTTCAACTTCTGGTGTGAGCCACGATGGGACCCCCAAGCAAAGGGGGATTTCTGAGCCCCCGATTTGCGCATCGGGCAGCTTTCGTATGGACATCTCCGTTGCTTTGCTGCAAGAGACAAAGCATGCAGAAATTCGCAAAGGACAAACGAGTCTCCAGACCAAGAGTGGGAAAAGTCCCGATGCAGTGCGCAGGAATTCAGAAGCAACGATCAATAAGTTTCTTGGGATGCAGCGGCCTTCATTTTGTGGGAGTGTTGCCTTTGTCGTTGCAGCTTGGTTTCAAGAATATCCAGAGGCACGGGTTGCCACAAGTTCTTTCATTTCCACAAAGCTCAGCAAGCATCCAGATGTGGCCACTGCATTGGATATCGACCTAGGCGACGAGCACTTTAATCCATAGCTTTACTCGAAGCTCAAACTTCGCATAGCGGGCTAGGGAGATCTGTGGACCTGTGTGAAGGCTCCGATTGATGCCACGGTTTTTCTCCTCCGACCTGGCAGCCAGGCTTCAGAGGCATGCTGCCCACGATGCCGCAATTTCTCAGAAGCTGGCTGCTTGTGCAGCAATGGCAGTGTATGCTCAGCGCAGACCCTCTCCTAGCCGTCACTTGAGATGCCCCAGACAGCCAAATTTCAAGTCACGCATGTCAGATATCCTGTCAGCACGCTATAGGGAACAAACACACACACACACACTTAGCAGACTGGGTAGCTGGCAGCGAAGGATAGAACTCAAAGTTGCGGTCAGCGCTTAAATATTGCAAAATGAGTGAACCTAAACATCGTTTCAGCTTAGCCTTTTTGGACAATCGGGGTGCGAGCATAGCCAGAGTCAACCAGAGTTCAATGTTAAGGCACATTCCGGGCAAGATTTGAAGGTCAGGTTCGACAAGTGCTTAAAGACTTAAAGAGGGCCAGTCCGAAGAAGGGTTTGAACAGGACGCAGTACACCAACTGGTTTCTGCAGCAGGAGCTC